TTTTTTATGTTAAATACTCGCGCACACACTGCTCGTGCATTTAATTATAAATTTATTTAAAAATTGATTTGCTATCCTCTTCTTCGCTAGATGTGCATTTGCAATTGACAAATGAATTGTTTTTTTTTTTTTTTTCTTACAAAAATAGAACACTTACTTGTAGAACAAGTTGTTAGATAAATGATATTGTAATTTGCATTTGCTGCATACACATAATCTCCATACCAATAGGACAGGCAATCCGCATATAATGTGACGACTATTGCACATTGCCGATTGCTTAGAAAGATCATTGTGGCAAGTAGTGTAAACGTGGGATTTCCCGGTACGTTATAGAAAGGCTCAGCGTCACTTCGTTACTGTAAGCATGCTTTGTAGGGAATTAACTAGCAAAAGTTTCCGCATGGATCGATATCACTTTCTGTTGACTCTTATCTCCAGGTTAGTCTTCAAGAATAATCAATGAAACTTTCCGGCGAACACTAGAGAGACCTATTGGTCAAGATGTTTTCTTCTTTTTTTTTAATTTTCTATAAGTTGCGCTTGCCTGTATTTCAATTTGTATAATTAATTGTAATAATTTATAGATAAATTATTCTTTACGTTGAGTTCATTCAGTACAGTTTTGATTGAATTAAGAAAACAAAAAAAAAAAAAAAAAGAAAAACAATTGCGCGTCAAGTTTTGCTAACAAAGCTGCTTTTAATAAAACAACAATACCCTTAATAATAATAAACAATAAAGAAAAAAATAAAATAAAGTAAAATAAAGCAAATCAAAGTCCAAATTATACATTTCTTAAGCGAATCGATCACTCTTTTCTTGGCTTCATTGTTTATTGCGGTTTTCTGCCCACAATGAATCTAAGCCGCCATACTTCAACGTTTTATTGTGTTTACAATTTTCATCAGATGATTTGTTTTTATTTTATTTTTCTATATACATAAAAATGCTCCCAGCGTATATGCGTGCCTAAATTGAGTATGTACGCTTAGTTCCAAAGTCCAAAATAAAGTGAGTTCATGAGACAAGCATACACATATATGCATACATACATATATACATATATTTATGTATATCTTTTTAAACTAAATAGCCAGCATGTGATACTCACGTGCACAACATTGATGAGAAAAACATAATAGTTTTGTCTAGTTAAAGACGAACACCGGGCACACTTCAACCGCCTGACAAGAGACAAGCGCATAAAAATTCTAATATGTTTGGCTAAAATTACGTTTTCCTAGCAATAAGGGTTAACATGAAAGTGAAGTCTCTCCGGATAGTACAAAAACCACAATTTGATACTTATTTAGTTTGGAAACCATAACAATTTGAATTTTGGTTACAGCGAACACAATAGCTTTTATAGCCTATACATATTAATATTAAGTTTGTACGGATATGCGCAACATCCAGAAGGACTTGAGATAGGACTGCCTCTTATTATATCGATTGGTTCAAAATCACTTTTTGCATCGATTTAATCTTGTCTGTCCGTCCGTCTGCATGCCTATCTGCTTGGTCTTCATGTGTACAACCTACTGGTCGCCTCTTTTCAGACATTTCGATGATATTTGGTACATCTACGTTTGCCAAGGACGAACACTTTTCGAAACGATTCGGATTGGATCACTTTTTTGACTATTACTCATATAATGCCATATTTTGAAAAGTCTACGTCTGAATTGTTGTATTAAACAAAGTGGTGTAGGGCTTTTAATTATGGGCCGTTTGCCACTGAAGTGCTTTCACAGATCTGTTGTTGAAATTTTCCAAACATTATGATAGACTTAACATATACATGTATGCTTTTAAAGTCAAATTGTTCTTTAAAATGCGTCTTAAAATAGTTTTAATAGTATATCAATCAACATTGTTACCCTCAGGTTCTCAAACTTTTTTCCGCATTAACTGTAAAGATTAGAGGAATTTCAAACAGACGCGATACAGTAGGAATTGATTTATTGCTTAGTTATACACGATAATCAATTTTAATATGCGATTACATTGTTTATTATCGCTTTATGTGGGAGTAGCTTGCATTTTTCTATATCATATTTATTGCTTTAAGATGTGGATACTTTAAGTTCGCCATTACGTCTGTAATATTTAGAAGTTCAGATATTGAGTCATATATATGAATAACCAATACATCGTACACAAAAATTGAAAGGTCTTATGAAGTAGAAAAGCATCAGGTAACCTGCAAAATGATTACATCTCAGACCTGTCATCGGTTTGCTTACTTGTCTAACATTAGAATTTCGGCAATCACGAAACGTGTGACAGAGAGCTGTCACATCTGACACATGTGATGCTGAATTCTATTATTCGTCCATAAATACCCTACCATACGTAAGGAGAATACAGCGATCTCTGAAAACAGAGAGAGAGAGATTAGAACTTGCAAGAGATATCCTGGTTAATCGATAGATTCACCAAATCTAACATCTAGATCGCCTTGAAAGATTTTGTATAGACGATCACAACAATTTTACTTTTCAACCTTAACGCCTGCTTTCACAAGGAACTAGAATAAGAAGTTAATTTAGAAGCAAGCAAGTTTATCGAATCAATCGTAGGTCAATCTGCATTACACATGCATTTAATAAGACGCTTTCGACATTAGGTAGAAATCACATGGACCGTAATAATCAAAACTATGTCTTTAAATAAGCCATTGTGATCTAGAGGGGAATCTCAATGCGTCTACTAACTGTTTCAATTCTCTTCTACAACTTTCGAGCTTAACCGTGTAACCGTAGAACAAATTTAACTCGAAACCAAAAATTGGTAAAGCATAAATATATCGGTTTATTGCTGTCAGTATACGTCAGAAATTTTCAGAATACTAAATTCCATTAGATTTCGCTCCAAGTTGTCAAACTGCAATTTCGATAGAGGGGTAGCAATCGCTTGCATTAAATATCATAAGAGGTATAATTGATGGCCATCGAAAGTTATAACACATATTGAAATCAATTTCATATTTTCTGTAATTAATTAAAAATTATTTATTTTTAATTTATATATTTAATGTAAGTTTTGTTTTTTTTTTAACTAACGAAATAATTCTGCATTATCTAATTTAATCGTAGGTTTGCCAGTTTACCAACTGATAATCTGACTGTTCAGCATTTATCGCCACCTCCAAAGAAATATTGGAGCATGATGGCCTATAATAATGTCAAGCTCTGCAATGTCTTATTTACATTGGAGTTGGCAAAGGTAAGCTAAAAATTTCTTTTTTTATATTTATATGCCATGATATTAAGTCCTCTAAACAAGGCTTATTATTAAGATTTATCGCCTTATAAAAATGGAATAAAATATCTTATCGTCATTAATGCTTTATTAAACGGGTATATTTTGTAAATTATTTGCTATTAATACAAATTCTCCAGGAAGTATAAAGTTTCCAATTATAACTCGTTTCACATTTAATGAAATGATTACGAAACAGCATTTGTCCTAGAAAATTAAATTTAAAGGAATTTAAGGAAAAAATGTTGAAAAAAAAGTTTTTACAATGTAATCAGAAACTTTCGATAAATTATGAATAAACTTTCGAATTTTAAAATTTAATAAAAGGCCTTCCCAGCTAATGTCGATCATTTTTAAAGCAAGCACGCCTTTTTATATGCATTAAAGATGGCGCTATAGTATATCTAATCCTACCATGTAGTATGTTTACATGCACATTTTGGATCAGCAAAAGACTTCGGCCCAATTTAGCTCTGTCTGTACGTATGTCCAACTAAACTTTGTTTGAATACTCACGAACTTGTAAGTTCTTCCTTAATGGCCACAGAACAAATTCAAACCTTGGACTTGCCAGCATCAATATACTGAAAATCACTATTGTATCTTAGTGAAATGTGGGCGTGATCTGCAAACTTCCCCATTTCAGCCAAACAATTGCAACTTACTGTCTAAAAGAGATATTGGTCTATAAATTTGTATAATTGATCGATCAGTTGATACGCTTACATGCGGATATGACTTTTTTACATGGTCTTTGCTTTGCTGCGCGTTGATTTCATGTAGAATACGTCGTCTTTTCCTATAGAGTGTTTGAGGGATGGCATATGTATCTGAAGTATAATTTGAGGAACTCTATATACGATTGCTAGCTTATATCTTATGAGAATGTCCAATTTTGCTGCCCTACATCTCACGTGGTGGGACCGATATTAAGCTCGTGACGATGTGAGATTTGACCTTTTATTATACTGATCGATTCAGAATCATTTTCTGAATGGATTTAAACTTGCCTGCTCGCTTGATCTTTCCCATAGGCTGCCGTTTTTGGGATATTATGATGAAGTTTGATACATCGATGTTTTTGGCTCAACGACGAACGCTGTTCACAGTGGATTAGATTGAGTCAGTTCTACAACTACTTCTCGTATAACGCTTCATTGGAGAAAAGTCTTTCTTTACAAAAAATGTTAGAAAATATGGCCAAAGTTTGTATCGAATATGACCATTTTTGAGAACTCCATCATCATTCTTACATGAAATAATCCTTTGAGTAAGTTTCAAATGGAAAATGATTCAAAATAGGGAATTGGCATATGAATGGATTAGATAGGTCTATCTTTAGGGCTCTTTCCCATAAGATGGCCTTTGAAAAGTGAGCTTTTCACACATGATCTACCGTTGAATATTTTATGAAGAAAATAGGTGATGAATAATGATTAATAGATCAAACAATGGGACCAAATTTGAAGGACTTCAATATCAGGGTTCTGACGAAAAGTAAACATCCACAAGCTGACGGTGTACGAAATTCGGCATTTTGCGAAGATAATAAGTAAAAATGGTGGAGTGCATTCAAAGAGAGGTCTTGACCGATTGCAATGTTTTTATTATATTATTATATATATAACGTAATAATTTTTTCCAGACTTTTTTGATTTCAACACGAGTTGTTGATGGATGGGTAGAAGAACTTATTCCAAGCCTAACATAACTTCCTTCATTTATCAAAATTCTTCAATTATTTAAATGACATATCCCAAATCGGCACATTTCCATATATCGAGTAGCACACACACCTAGATGGGCATATGCACTTGCTGGGTTTTATGCCTTTTAAGGACATAATATAAGTAAAATTGCGTTCAATATAATTTTGTGGAAATATAAAATTAGTTTAAAATCATTCCAGATGGTGCATACATACGATTAGATTGTTTAGGTGTATGTATAAGAGCCTTCCCTTATTTGCTAACCCCCATAAATTTTTGTTGCGGACAGTTTCTGGCGAAAGGAAAATTTGGGAAATTAATGAAAATACGTAAAATGAAATACATTAAGGGTTGCAAGCAAATAAATCCCTTAAGCATTTCTCGTTCATCTAAACTATATAAATTAAATTTTCATATCTTTAGCCAGCGGTGTGTGTTATGAAAAAAAATTATTATAAATATACTTAAAGGCATACGTCCGCATTCACGCGTATTTATGCATTAGATATTAGTAAATATATACATGTTGTTGCGTTTGTTGCCTTATATGTTTCACTTAGCCGGTCTGGTGATTGATATGTTTTTTTTTTTTGTTTTCACGCTAATGAGATTGTGCGTGAATGATAATACGATCTTTTGTAAAGTATTCAATTGCATATGTTCGCCCTTGGCTTCGCAGAACATATTATACTTTTGTGTAATAGATATAAACGATCAATATAAACTCGAAACAGTTTGTTTTCATTTTTTAGAAATTAATTTCATAACTTCCGTATAAAAAAGTTGACACAAAATACATCAATAATGAAAACATTATTAAAAACAAACGGATCCAATACACATTTTCTTAGGATTTTGACAAACTTCCTAAGTAATGTAAAAAAATGAGTGAAAATTTTTGCAATTGGTTTTAAGCGAATCGTGTTAGTTGGGTCAAGTTTCATTTTCGTTAACAATGTGGCATCAAGTTCTACTTTAGTTTGCTAGTGAATTAGCTGATAGGTCTTTTAAAGAGAATAAAATATGTAAATAAGAAAATTGAATTAATTTTACCGTAAATAGATAACGAAAAGCCTATGTAATGTGTGTATGTGTGCAAGGATAGGGGGTTTCAGATCTCACAACTTTCAAGAGACAAATATTGGAAAACGAAGTTATGTTAATTGACAAGATCTTCAGGCAACATTTTCTCTCGCTGTTTCGCTAATAGATATCTGAGTATCTTGAGTTCCTCTGGCTTGTGTTAATTTTCTTCATTTTATATTCACTATAAGGAATCTAAAATTTGGTGAATAATACTCCGAAATAGGCAACAAAAGTATATGTTTTCCAAAATTTGTTTCCAAATCCAAATCGGGGGCAGTTCGAGTCATCACTTTTAGATCGCACTTTAGAGCGCATAGATATATTTCGTATCAAAAGTTTCTTGTATATCAGCCAATAGTCCCCGGAACTAAGTGAGAAAAACACCTTTTTGTTTTACGAAATTGAACTGAATTCATTGAAACAGTCCGCTTCAAGGATGATGCAATTGATGTAGGACCGCATTTCTATACACAAGGATTTGTCAAGAACTCAAAAGTTTTTGCTATGATATATTTACTTGAACTGAACTTCTTTCCTTGTGTAATGCTTTTGACATCTACAAACAGATAACAGTCGCTGAGGGTTTGCGAACTCATCCAATATTTCATCGCACTTATCCACTTGCGACAATGCGAATTTTTTCGTGACAATAAGTAAACATGTCAGCTATTTTCAGAATAACTTTTTCACGTCCCGAATTTTACCCAAGGAATTTACAGCCTTTAGGTGTCTTTATTATGTGAACCGCCTCTCGAAACTTCACTTTTCGATTATCGAGTATAATTTTTCACATTTTTGTGATGCTTTACGGTACTCGTCGTTTTTTGAGCGTTCAGTATCATCGCTGACCTAGTTCAAAATCAGTGGACCTCTCACAAATTTGCTGATTTCAAAGGAGAAGATTCGCCATAACATTCGCCAAGGGAATGCAAAGTTTTGACCGGATTTTCTTCCATTAAGAAGCAGTATTTAACCGAAATTCTTATTTCCAATCGTTTTCAAAATAAATATACCACAAGTAATCGAAACGACATTGAATTCCAGCAGACTTCGTCTTAGAGTTGGAATTTTTTTTTGCTAATAATATGCATTTGCATCTTAGGGATGAGGTCAATGTACCAGTCCCGGGAATTATTGATCGGCATATTACATAAAAAGACGGTGAACTCAATTCTATTTCTGTGCAGATGGCCCAGGTTCAGATGAAATGATTTTTTTTATGAATATAATGAAAACAGAAGAATGTAAGATTTTTTTTTATTTATTTTTTTTTTTTTTGCAAAATTCAATATAAATTGACATTCTTCGTAATGTATTTACTACATTTTCAAAGGTGCAACCTGATTTAGCGATGACTGTCCGCCTCATCCAGTCTTTTGCAGTGAAGCAGAGAATACTGAAAGCAAGTAAAAAGTATGAGAGTTGACTTTTCGTTGTTTTTCACCTTCACCTGCGACGAAAGGTCATTTCTGTTCAGTTAGTATGAAAGTGGCATGTATTTTGTCTCAAATCTTCGATACTATTAGGAAATAAACTTTTCTTTTAGATTTCCGACCTTTTTTCAAATCTACCTAATGAATGTTCCTGTAAAATCTCGAACAACTGTGCATAGCTGCTCGCCATTCTTCTTTTTTTTACATTTTCACTATAATTTTCAAAGTCACGATAGTTTCAACAACAGCCAGATGGATAGGCGACTAAATCTAAGCGTGAATTTTATTCAGTCAAAAATGTACACAAGTCTGGAGGCGTCTGTTTATACTTGGTTACCATAAAAGGAATGTTTTGTCTGCTCGTATTCTTATCCGGTATAAAAGCTCTGAAAAAATCAATTCATAAAGTAAAAAACCTCTGAACGCGTTAAAAAAATTTTTTTTAAATATTGCTTTGTATTATATCGTAACTTAAGAAAGTTAAAGCGCAGCTACTTTCTGGCAGTTACATTGGACATTAACCTAAGAAAAGTCACAAACAACAAAAAATAGTGGTTGTCGATTGCTTACGATTACATAAAACTATATATAACACTCACATGTAAATATATATAAAAATAAATCATATTGCCAGTAACGAGAATTAACTGTATATCACTTGTGTCCTACACCACTGGTGGTCAGGATGCATTAAGCATATATGATGGCATGAAGCAGATCAGTGTTTCATTACTGCGATTGGTTCAGAATAATTTTCTGATTTTCTGATTGAAGTCGATATGTCCATTTTTTCCACCTAAGGATCGTAATTTTCGGAATATTTGGGACATGTCAAACGTGGACGTGTTTTGGTGCAGAGATGAGTTGCTTTGAAAGCGAATTCAATCGATGGAGAAGGGGTTATATCGGACAAGTTTTGTTATCTCCGTCCCTTTATATGAAAACAATTTGCACTATTTCTCGACAAAAATTGGTGAAAAATCGTATTTTGGCGTACTACACGAATGTAGGAAATGGCAATGGAATATGAGCATTTATTGAACCCTCAAATATATTTACAAAAATTAAAATCCTTGATAATCTGACAAGAATAGGAAAAGAATAATACCGGCCGGTATACTGTAGGTGATCTGTTTGTCAGTGCCTTGTCCGATAATAATGTTTTAACTTGTGTTTTTAAGTTCATTTGATTACTTTAAGAATATCTGAGTCAATGTAAGTAAAGTCATCTGATCTTACGAACTAATTTATAGCCTTTATCAGTTAACCAGTTAACCGTGCTCGTCTGTACGCCTATCTCTTACGGACGCTATTCTCGGTGTTGTTTATTGAACTGTCTATAATTTGAAATTTCATTATAGGGTATAAAAAGTGTCTTCTTAAGAAAAACAATAAAAAAGCAAATAAAAATCGAGGTTAACTTAAACCAGAACTGAGAGAACTTTCATTATTACATATATGTAAATATATATATATATATATATGATGATGATTTTGTTATTCTGATTTTCTTATTGTTTCATCTTGTTCTTTTCATTGCATGTGTGCGTGTGCTTTAATAACGCAAGAGATGGAAGCATCGTGGCATTTGTGTCTTCTCTGTACATCCCGGTAATATGGTTTCAACGCAACTGCAACGCAACTGGTGGTTTTATCGTTTGCTGTTTGCCATCGTACGGCCTTTCACTAAATCTTTGGTAAGTCATTTAATGTAACCGCGCCTATGTGTGGTTTGCGATCTTAAATTACTTGCCATAATGTTAATTAATACTAAAAATATTGTCTTTAAGTTAAATTATTTAACTCCCAGTGATAACATAATAACAAATTTTATATTTATAGCAACAAGCGGCTGCAACGACTATTTACTGTGCCACTGCCAATGAGCTGACCGGCCTTACGGGTTTGTACTTTAATAATTGTTATATATGCGAATCGAGTAAGATATCTCAGAATGAGAAACTACAGCAGCAATTATGGGAAATCAGCCAAGAAATGGTGCAATTGTTACTGGCAAAAGAGAAGCAGCAGCAAGCAGCCGATGATAACGAAATAAATACAACTACAAATTTTGTTTATTAAATTGTTATTAATATATATATATATATATATACATATATTATGCTGTTTATTTGGTTTTTGATTTTTTTTTTTTTTTTTTTTCTAAATATACGATGATTATAATTATGATAAAATACAGTCTACTAGGATGTGTTGCTGGTTCGTGTGTAGTTGTAATAAACAACATTGAAAAGTTCACCAGTCAGCCTAAGTAGCAAGACTTGCAACAATCACAGTAGTAGTAGTTGCGGCGTGAAGTCTTGCAAATTAAGAAATGCAATGAATTTTTATGCGCGCTATTAAAACTAAAATACGTTATCTAAATAATGTAAGTAAATTATACAAGGACTATTAAAGTAAACTAAAAATCTGAGACACGTCCTTTACGTTCCCAATCGCCGTAGCGAGTGGGCTCGGGACCGGATGGACCACCAATTTCACCGGTATATGGATTCGTGTTATTGGGCCATGGCCGTAAAGCTTCAATCTCTTGGAAAGGTTGACGCGATAGCTCATCGAAGCTAGCGAACGGCGCCTTTTCGCGCAGTTTCTTCTGGAATTCAATGAAACGTGTACTCTTCGCCTTAGTTTGACCTCGAGGTTCTTGTTGACGGCACGCTGAGGTAGAAAGGCAAGCCGCTATCGATTGAAAATCACAAGAAAGGAAAAAAAGGAAGAAGAAGATTAGACGATTTGTTCAAAATAAAACTCGAAAAAGCTCTTAAACTTCTTCAATTTTCCGCTCATGCCTTTTTTTTTTTTTTTTGGTGGAAATTTATAAAACTCACCTTGTTTGACGACCTGCGGCATAATTCGGCCGCTTTGTTTGACAATATTAGCCATTGGACGCGTTTTAATGATTTTAATATGACTTTTGATGAAAACTGAGAGAAAGTACTTTTCAATTATACTCTTATTTTGATTAATTTGTCACAGCAGAGATTTCTTATTTATCTTTTATGTTTTACTTCTTTTTTTATTTTTATTTTTTTCTTTTTGATATCATAAAACACTTTGCACTTCTTGTTATTGTTGAATAGTCTGTGTCTCTTGGTGGCTGTTTATTAATTGTTTATGGAATTACTTACTTGTATGGCTTTATATACCGCAGCTCATAGCTATGCTGCCTCCATGAAAACAGTAGAGTAGATCATTTTTTTAAACAATTACCGCAGGCAGAACTCATACGCTCGCTCGCTTTCTCTCTCTCTCTCTCTCTCTCTCTGTTACTTAGTTTTCAGCAGCGAATATTAAGCACAAAACAGAATTGCTACAAAAACACAATACAATTACACAATAATAAATGCTTGTATATACTCAGCATATATTGTTGATATATACAATCACATATGTTCAAATTTATATACTTTTATATACATATATGCTCCATGCATTCAAACATAGTCGTCATATTTTCCGTTTCGTAAACATCATTATTTAACATCACGAGATTACGTCTCGTTGTTCACGTAGACCTTAACTTGCCGCCGGTATCGGTTATATGTGACGTGAGTAAAAGCATGTTGGACCCATTTACTTGTGATTCTTGCTGTTGTTGTTATTGTGTTTATTTGAGTTTATCTATTTATTTTTTATATTTTTGTGTTTATGTTTTTTCGGAGTTCAACACCATTAAAAAACACCATAAAAAATCCGATGAAAGGAACAAGCAAAAGTCATTTGCATTTGGCGTTAGTGCTTATACATCAATCATAATAAAGCCTTTCCATGTGGTTCCACAAATACATCAAGAATTTAATAGGAAACTAGAAAAGTTGTTTTCTTAGAGCAGTGTGTAATTGGTTCACGAAGAGACCTACAACCAGATATAAGGATGGCTACCTATACCTTCTAACGAGGGCGAGAGCCGTCTTCACCATTGAGAGAAGAAAAAAAATTTATTTTTAATTTTTCATGGGAAGTTTTTTTAGCTAATTAGTTCTGACGTACTCATCAAAGTAATATCGGACCCTTTCCCTATTTTATAGGTCGCCCAAGATTGAGTTATTTTATATTTGGAAGAAAGAGAAGCATTCAAGATAACAATAAAAAACAACTAAATGATAAGATTGTTCAAAACATCTTGTTCGGCTTTGTCGTAAAAACGCACTTGCATGTATGCCATAGCGCATATTCACTTAAAGGCACAGGACAGCTTCAGCTTTGCAAACGTTTGAGAGAACGCGACATCTTATCAAGAAACTATTAGCAGAATCTCTGCCCACACAAACAATCAAAATGAAAGGGCAAGCTACTAAATAGCTGCTAGCTAACAGAGACATAAAAAGTTCGTAATAATCTCCTAGTTTAAATTTTGAAGCAAGTGGTAGACCCTCTTATCATTTTGTTGTCTCGGATTGAACTGCCTAGACAGCATTTATCTCAGGGGTCAACGCACTAGACATACATTAGTTGCTGAGTTCAAAGAAGTTGATCAAATAAATATTAAAAAATATCCCCTTGCTATAAATACTTAAGTTATTATAACTTATTAACACTCTACCGCTTCAGGCTTTCATTTTCTCAACATTAATTTTTAATAATTTATTAAAATTGATTTACCTTTCAACTCAATAAAAATACGCAAAGGTAACCAAATAAACCAGAAAATGTTGTAAGTTCATGTCATGTTTATTGGTAACATTTTCTAAAAAAAAGATATACATTTACAAAGTTTATTCCCAGTCATGGGACAGAAACTTATTACTTATGACCACCAGTTCAGTATTCAGAAGTAAATTTTTCGAGCAACGTGAAGTACGGTCATCGCGTCATTTCGTCCATCAGAGAAGCTAGATGTGTTTCTAGATGTGAAAAAGGCCTTCCATAAAGTCTGGCACGTTGGGCTGAAAACTTTCTTTTAAGTTCTGTGTATTTTTATTTTAAATCCTATATGTGCCAAAAGGCTCATTAATAAATCCAATCCTCAAATCCTTTTTACTCCAGGTTTTCCCATCGCTATCCATATTTTAATTGCGTTATCTGCATATGCTTCACTTGCCAAATCGACTAACTTCATAAAATTAAAAGCAGAGAAAAAGTGATAACGTTGTATCGTTGGTCGAGTCATAAGTAACGTCCGTTTTTTTATCAGACATTTGTTTTGTTTTCACTGAATAACAAAATAGTGTGAGGTTGAATGTGAGATACTCAACATTTTTGCTATATGTCTTGTTGCTTGGCGTGGATTTTGCTTCAATACTGCCTTTAAAAGGTTGTCGTTAAAATCGGAAGGACGTATCCTTGTTTAAGGTCGTATCTACAGAACGTAATTTTACAAACCAATTTTCCGATCAGTTATCAGTCCTTCTTCGTATGCGCTGCATATTTTTTCAGCTGCCGCCTTACCGCTATTGCTTTGTTTAAATTCTCAAAAACTCTTCCGTAAATAGATTTTGTGGGAATTGTAACCTACGCTATGCTAAAAACAATAATTCACTTATACGAAGGCAAGGTTAAATAAGACTATTGGTTAACTCGTCCGAAATGTCAATTTAATCTAAAAAACAAATGTCTTTTCTACAAGGGTATCTTCTAACCCATTTAGACCTACGACATATATCAGTAGGCCAAAACTGTAATTCTAATGTTGAAATACTTCATAAGCATCATGAGGTTTAAAGCCCGCGGTATTCATTATAAATAATCTAATCCAACGCCTTTCTTTCAAATATCTTGCGAGACTGATCAATCCTTCGACAATATTTCTTTTAAATGAATCCAATGAGGTAAGAAGATTGAAAAGACACCATTTATTTATATCATAAATTTATTTCTGTTCCTCAAATTACTTTAATGAACATTCTTAGTTTTTATGGGTATCTTCTATTTCTTTAGACGTCATCATAATAAATATATAATAAGTAAAATTTCGTTTTAGTGAATTAATTCGTATTTTTGGGCGGAGCAGATATACTCTTGACATTTTAAGGTTTGACTTGGTTATGTACGCTTTCAAATCTATAATTTCCAGCGGGAATTATTAAACATTTATCCGTAAGCACATATCCGTTGGCATATACACTTCTCACGAGTGCCAATGTAGGAGTACGGCGAATAAAGGCACTGGATACGGACAGAAATATTTGGATACAAGAGAAATACGAATGAAAGAAATTGGACAAATACGAATGGCAAATGAAAATATTCGGATACGGATGGAATGTCAAAATGACGAATAAAAATATTTGAATAGGGTTAAATAAATTTCGAGAAGGTTGAAACGGTGACATGGGAAATGAATGGCTAAGAGTTATATGAAAATGGTAAGTAAAAAGAGTTGTATGCGGACGGATCGGAGACATGGGAAATAAAAACTGGATAAACTGGCAAAACGATCGAATAATACGCACGTCAATTCTTGAATATAGATAAACAGACGGAGTAATGAACGAAGGAAATTGAATAAGTGTCTGAAGTAGATGAAAATATTTGGGGAAGGATGAAAAACGAGGACGGTTGGTGAAAAATCTGGATGGGGATCACTCCCATACGGACGAGGTATGGCAATGTTGCCGGAAAGTTCTTTTATATGCACAAATGAGGAATAGTTTAAGTGCGGCTAAAAGTATTCGAATACACATGAAATAACGGAAGAGTGACTGGAAAAATTTAAATGTAAACGAAATTTGAAAACTATTTATGAATGGATAAACTGTTACTGTAAGAGTTTGAATACAACTAGAAGTATCTGAGAGTATGAAATGAAAAAATAGTCGTTAAAAAATTTTGAACGCAAACAAAATGCGATCAAGTGACAGAAAAGGTGAAACTCGAATACGAGCGATGGCAATTGGATGCGGTTGCTATTTAAGAATGGCAATCAAGAGTACTTGAATACGGGCCAAGTGATTCGATCCAAGCTAAATGTAATATCTCTTTTGTTAAGATTTGGTAAAGGCCTTCAATGGCGATTAATGCTTATTTTTAGTATCAACTTATCAATTTTAAAACATTGATGTGTTTCTCAATTATTAGTCAATTAATTTCATAAACAAAAGCTGTTTCTTATTAAACGTTTGTGCCAGTATTGTGCAACTTGTTCGATACTTTTTCGCAGATTATCATTGATGCGAAAGCACTGCAATTAATTACATTTTTAATTGCGAACTAATTTTCCTTAAGAATATCACGTACGTAAAGGTTGACAAGCGTCAATAAAGCCAAAATATTCTTTTTTCCCAAAATCAATATTTTTCTGCTTTCTTTCTTTAGTCTTCATTTATTATAGCCTGTTTATCTTATTTATATTCTTACGAAAGTCTTTATATTTCTAAATGCAACGCCGGCTTATATTATATGCAATTAAGTGTAATATATATGTAGAGAGAATCAAAAGCTATAAATACATAAACATTGAAGACGTTGTAAGAATTGTTATTTATTGATCCATAATACAAAACAATGTAACAAATCATTTCATTATTACTTTTCGCAATTCTCTGTTCAGTTCGCTAACCACTTCGATTGAGTGGCCATTTCTTCTGATCTTTGAAAGTGCATCGTAAATATGCTCAGCGAAATACGAAAGATCTTAAATCTATTTCTTGAGTTAGCTGAAACTTTTTTAAAAGATATAAGACATCTTTAAATATCTTATTTTTTGAAGAACAAAGACAGAAAAAAAATGTAAGAATATTTTGCTTAAGGTAAATATTTTAGGCTCTCCTGTTCAAACTAGTAAATCCATGTTGAATAGGTGGATAGGAAAATTGTTGCAGCAAATTTAAAATCAACAGCAATTTTACTATGTATGGAAGCAGATCCTTATCGTACACTACTGCAAGGATGTAAGCAACGCCCAGAAATATGTCGGATAGCTCCGCCTTTGGTTAGATCGACTCGATCTAAGGATGCTTGTCCGTCTGTCCGTCTTTTTCCTCGTGTGCAACCCATAGGGAGTAATTTTTGAAGTTTTTTGATGAAATTTGATACACAGATGTACTTTCAGCCAAGGACCATTTATACCTGTAGACTTATTTTGAAAGGTCGCTATGTAAACAACTATATTAAACAAAGTGGTGTAGGGTATTTATTGGCGCGTCGCGCCCCATTATATTGCTTTCTTTTTTTTCTTA